TGTTGGAAAAATGGGGAAATTCCGGTAGCAATTAAGAGGGGTTTTAAGTGTGTTTTGTTGCTTAATTCATGTGTAAATTGCTTGAGTTGATTGCTGTGATTTTTGGAGAGAAAACCCTGTGATTAGCTAGTGTTTTGGCCAATTTGCGGAAGTGGAGTTACTGTTCATCGGTTACTGTTCACACCCCGAGGGCCAACAATTAACGGGGATTTAAGTGATTAGTTTGTGATATGAGAACGAATTTGGAGATGTCTGATCATGTGGAAAGTGATAGAAATAGCATTGTGATTAAGAGTGATCTTAATGATGATTTCAGCTTGAATTTGTGATAGTCCGGTAATTAATTCGTGGATATTTTGATTAGGTTCTTGATCGTTCTGTCAGTTTAGTACGTGACTTGAGTCTCGGTTTTATGCAAGTGAGGTAAGTAAATTTATGGTAATGCTCGTACTGTTTTAAAAGCATGTTTTGATTTGTTTTTGAAGTGGTGGCGGGACTAAACCCGTTTTACACAAGTATGACTGATTTGAAGTGAAATGTTTTGTGCTTTTCATGAAATTGAGCATGCCTACTTGAAATTTAAGTGATTGTCCTGATGATCTGAAAGTAATTGTGAATTGTGATTTTCCTGTTAACTTCTGCCTATTTTGTCTCCGATGTGGTCATGTTATTCGTGACCCTGCTAGTGGGGGAGGTTATAAACGCTAGCATATGTCAACATGTAGTGATAGAGCCGATTTGTTCAACCCAGCTAGTGGGGGTTATACACCAGCAAATCGTGGCCCTACTAGTGGGGATTATACACTGGCCATGACTTATAGAGGAGACGTCTATTTCGTGCCCATACTGTATCTGTTTTCGTGATTGTACTTGTTGGCATGCTTTAAGTTTGATAAGAGGCACTCCATATTTACTTACTGAGTTTATCTCATAGTTTTCCTTGTCCACCATTTCAGGAAGTGAAACCGAGGATGGGGAAACCACGGGAAGTGACAAGTTAGAAAGCTAGCCATTTCAAGATTGATATAGATTCTAGAAATCATGATCTTGTAAGCTCGAGTGTACTTGGAGATTTTATGATATCAGAGTAAATTTTAAAGATTTGATCTTCAGATGTTGATGGTATCAGATGTGATATGATAAGTTCCGAGCCTTGTGCACTTGTGGGACCCGTCTCACGAGTGTACGGCGTCTGCCACGTCTCCGGATTTGGGTTCTGGGGCGTGACAAAACCACTATTGGTTCGAATATGTTTTTCAAACCAATAGTGGTCCGAATAGGTACAGTAGAAAAAAAAAAATTTTTCCCCAAACTATGCGAAATTCATTCTACTCCCGATCAAGCAACATGCTCTAAAAGCTTTGAATGCCATAGAATCTAAATAAATTAAGATTTAGAAAGTGGACAAAAATTAGGATTAATATCTTAAATAAAATAAACACAATTATGACAATAAAAACATGAAAAATAGAATAAATATAATAATAGAAATATAAGCTAGCAAATAACATAATAATTGATATAATAAATCAAGAATAAAACCCCTAAATAAACAAAAAAACATTGAAAAAAAAAAAAAAAGACTACATATTCATGCCACAATTGGTCCAAATAACTTTT